CTCGTCATGCTCTGGATACCAGATAGAATTTTCAATTTTGCAGTGAGAAATAGCTTCTTCGACCCAGTGGTCTGCAAAGGCCTTTTCAAGGAAGCGACATTTAAGTGAAACAGAAAGGGCAGGAAAAACGCTGTTGTGAACACTTGGGAAGGAGGGAGGGCATTCCAGGGAGAGGAAATGAGTAAGCCTTCTGTTGGCCATGCAGTAGACAGGGGCTAGATTATGGCAAAGAGATTAGTAGTTGTTGGGGGTCTTGCTTGATCCATGTCACAATTTCCCCCACATTCTCACTTCTACGTACTCAAACCTCAATCACCCAGAACATTGCCAACAAGAGCCAAAGTCCTGAGGCTCACCGACCTCCAACCCTGCTCTTCCTCAGGCATTGGGCAAGAATCTTACCTAGAGTCTCAGTTTCCCCACTGAAAAACGTAATTTCTCTAAGGTACATTCAACTTCCATTGAGCCATTGAAACCAAACCAAAACCATTGTCAAGTTGATTCAGACCCCAGAGGACAGAATAGAACTGGTTCAGAGCTTTATGGAAACAGACATCTTCTCCCATGGAAGAGCTAGCTAGTAGGTTCCAAGTGCTGACCTTTTGGTTAGCAGCCAAGCGGTTAATCACTGTATCACTAAGTGGATAGCTTCAAAGGGGGGGGGGGGGGAGAGGGAGAACAGTCCTCTTCACTTTTTTTTCCTCGTTTCTCCTCTTCTCTGCCTGTGCCAGGTGGGCAGTAGGAGACCTTCCCCTCTAAGGGACAGGGGGATTATTGTTATTAGCTGTTACTCTTGAAGCTCCAAGTACAACGACAAGACACAGTGGGGGAATCCTTTGCCAGCCCCCTGCTAGCTTGTGGGTTGGACGCTTGTGATGCATAGGGCTTTCACTGGCTGGCCTCCTTGAGGAGGCCACTAGTTAGTTGCTATGGACTTGATTTCTACTCATGGCCGCCCCATGTGCGTCAGAGTACAATTGTGCTCTATAGTTTCCAGTACCTGACTTTGCAGAACAGAGATCACCAGACCTTTCTTCTGAGATGCCTCTGGGTGGATTCCAACTGCCAACGTTTCGTGCAGTAACCATCGGTACCCCCGGGGACTCCATTATATGGTTGTACCATAGTTTTTTTTATGCATCTGCCTGCTGTTGAGTAGTGGGTTTTTTCCAGTTTGGGTTAAGTATGAATAAAGCGAATATAAATATTTATTTGTCCTCAGGTTTTTACATGAACCTAGCTTTTTGTTTCTCTTGAGTAAATATTTAGGATATTTAAAGATTGCTGGGTCATATGTTAAGTGTATGTTTAACTTGATAAAAACGCCCAAAATCCATAGTGACAAGAAGTAGATTAGTGGTTGCTAAGGAATGGAGGCAGGGATGGTTAAAACCAAATCCACTGTCCTTGAGTTGATTCTGACTCCTAGCAACTTTATAGGATTGAGCAGACTGCTGCCTAGCATTTCCAAGGCTGTCCTCTTTGTCCTGTCGAGCAGCTGGTGAATTGAACAGCTCACCTTTTCGTTAGCAGCCCGATGCTTAACCCACGGCACCACCAGGACTCCTTTTAAATAAAGCATCGACTCATTTAAAAACCTTACCTTGTAATTTATATTCTATGCCCCTGCCGTGAAAGCAAAGAGCTCTGGTGATGTAGTGGTTAAGCTGCTAACCTAAAGTCCGGAAGTTCAAACCCACTAGCAGCTCTGAGGGAGAAAGATGTAACAGTAAAGATGGTTGCTGTTGTTAAAGGCCATCGAGTCAGTTCTGACTCATAGTGACTCTGTATAGGGTTTCAGAGGAGCGGCTGGGGGGTTTGAACCGTCAACCCTGAGATTAACAGTGCAGTGTTTATTTTATAGCACCACACCAGGACTCCATCTTGGAAACCCTGTGGGGCAATTCTACTTTGTCTCACTGGGCTGCTATGAGTTGGAATCTACTGGATTTTGGGGCCAGGAAAGTCAGTGGGAGCAGTTCTCTCTCCTCAGCAATCAGGAGATGTACGAGAGGGAGGGGGCCCTGGAAAAGAGGTTCTGAGAACGTCTCAGCCAGCCCCTCTTTGCCTCTGCCTTCGCGCTAGCTTTGTCCCCGCTGTTATTATTGTTTTATTACTGTTTTCAGTCAGATATAATTCCATCATTTTCTATAATCTTGATCTTTTCATTATAGCAATTTTTCATACAAAGATCTGTATATACAATGATTATGCACCCACCAGAATGCAATCCCCAGCAATTAGAACGTTTAAGATGCTGCTCCTCCCCGCATCCCTCATGTATTACTTCTGAAAAGTGTTTTGTGCCTTATTTATTTATTTTTTTTAGGAGGGGGGTATGTGTTTACAAATCCAATAACAATTCTCATTTAGAGTTACAAAACACGGAGCCATTTTGAACCCAGACAGATGGCATCTAAATGAAGTTTAATTAAAGAATCAGTGCTTGGAATCAAATCATTTGAAAAAGTGCAGTACGCCGAGATGCTGGAAGGCGCGCATAAATAGCATCTGGACCCCTTTGCAGAAAGCTCGTAAGGTACTGCGGCAGGCTCAGGGGTTGGGTGGGCGCACCCCACCCCCATGCAGGCCTCATCCCCTGCGGGGACACACCACCCGGAGTCCCAGTGACAGAAGGGGAGTCTTGGAGACCCCTCATGGGTCAACGACTTCCACTTGGGGGCGTCTTCTTTCGGCTCCGTGGAGCAGGATTCGCAGCCCCCTCCCACTTAACTGCAGGCATCTGCCCAGTGAGAGTGAAAGGAAACCGAGGCGAGTCCGCATTGCCGGTGGAACAGGTTTCCCGGGCTAGAACCCCATCGGGCCCCGCGGCTCTCCTTCCGGGGCTGTTTGGTTCTGTGCGCACTGCGGGCTCCCATCTCGCCGCCCGAAGGACCACGTCTGGCTGGGCTGCAAATTCGAGGCCAGGGCGCCGGCCAGGGCGCAGGATGAGCCCGCAGACAGCACGGCGCCGGCGTAGGCCGAGCGGGAGCGTTGAGGCCCGAGCGCACCCTTGTGGCTACCTGCGGGTTGTTGTTATGTGCCGTGGAGTTGGTTCCGACTCATAGCGACCCCTCTATACAGGGTTTCCGAGGCTGTAAATCTTTACGGGAGCAGAAAGCCTATTTCTCCCGCGGAACAGCTGGTAGTTTCGAACTGTAGCCCGATTCATAGCCACTACCTGCGGTTAGGACACTAGAAAGGACAGAAGGTGGAGCACAAGGATGGCGTAGGCGGGGCCTTGAACGCCAGGTGGTGTTTAATCCAGGGCAGGGACAGGATCAGGTTTCCAGTGGGTGGATTAGCGGCGACTGTAAGCCTATTGTCAACTATTTTGCCATTTATTTCACTGGCAGTTTCTGCATTGATTCCCTGGGTGGTGCTCACAGTTCAGGCCCTAATTACTGAGAGATTGGAGGTTTGAGTCTACCTAAAAGCACCTGGGAAGAAAGAGCTGGCTTTCTTCCAAAACACTATGGGATGTAGTCTACTCCGACACACACACGGTTGCCATGAGTAACCATCAACTTGATGGCAACTGATTTTGGTTTCTGCAGTAAGGGGTGTGATCAGAATGTAGGGGTCCCCCATCCCATCCTAGAGAAAAAGGGAAGGACTGGCCCAAAGCAGGATCCTGGGATGTGGAAAACAGAGGGTTCTGGATTGCTGAGTAGTTGGGGGTGGCACTAGCATGGCTAGGAACAGTTTTGAGGGGCTATGTGTGGTGCTGTGGGTTAATGCGCCAGGCTTCAAAGCCGTTTGAACTACAAGGTCGACGGTTCAAGCTCACCAGCTGCTCCTTGGAAACTCTATACAGGGTCGCTATGGGTCGGAACCGACTCGACGGCACTTGACAACAATAACAATGTTGCTCCTAGGAGCCCTGGTATAGTGCTGTGGGATAAAGCACTGGGCTGCAAGATCACTTTGAACCACAACGTCGGCGGTTCAAACTCACGAGCCCCTCCTTGGAAACCCTACACAGGGTCGCTATGAGTCAGAACTGACTCCACAGCACTTAACAACATGCCGCTCCGGGGGTTTCTAGCTTCTGGCATCTAAGAGGAAGTGCATCTGAGGGCTGGGACAGTGCCTTCCCTCATCGGGAAGACGCTCCTGGATCAGGCTGGCTCAGGGCTCAATGCCACCGATTCACACTGGACCGTGGCTCCTCGGCACCTATTTCTCATCTTCAAACCCTCCTCTTCCCCAGTGAGATTTCCCCCTCCTGTCTTCTCCACGGGCAGGGAGGGGGGCCTTCAGGATACAGAGCTGGACGTCATGACCCTGAGAACCCCCTCTGGAAATCGCCTTCCACATACCAGTGAGCAGAGTCCCCCCTCAAAGTGAATGTGGATGCAGTCCTGCCCTAGCTGTACCACTGGACAAGCTGCACCTGGCTGAGTTCCTGCCTCCATGCACCCCTTCTGCTGGGCATCCTAAGCAGGGTACCCCCCAGCCTCAGCCTCAACCATTCAGGCCTCAGTCGCCTCACACCTCAGTGCCAGGCTCTCTCCTCCTTCAGCACTGCCCCACCATATCCCTCCCCTTTTGTTGGGCTAACCCGGAATGTGCTCAAGTCTCCCCTTCAAGAAGTCTTCCCTGATTTCTGCACTAGGTGAGGCCATCCTGTTTTGTGCTCGCCCCACCAGGACACTCAGCCCACACCCTTGTTAAGATCTGGTTGGTCCCCAGTGGTCAGGGACACCGCCAAGGTCTTGGCTGACCACCGTGCCGGGCTTCCCCTGACCTCATTCACAGGGATGGCCACAACCCCCATGCTGAAAGAGACTCTGCAATAAGTAAGAATCAAAACAACATGGTTTTGTTTTTTTTTTCTTTTTCTTTTTACTTATTTAAAAAGGTCTTGGTGGCAGGAATATAGTGTAAAAATCATTGGAAAAACTAAAAGGCATCGATACATATCCCAATATACATTTTGTACATAAATTACATTTCCTTTAGTCTTTCTGAGTGAGGTCTCCATTCAGCGTTGAGGTCTAGTAATTAAGAGGTCCCGGGAGCTGCACGTTGAGTCCGGCATAGTCCACCATGTACATTGGCCACTGCTGGAGAGAGAGAGGACAAAGGGTTCCAGATCAGGACGCCAGTGGGGTGGAGGGAACCCTGCCTTCTGCTTTGGCAGTGTTGCCTGCCTCAGATGCTCTGTCTTCAGAAGTCCCTGGGACCCACAGAAAGGAAGTGACCAATCTAAGGCCACACCATTTGTCACAGGGCTCTCAGTGAAGTTGGATCAAGGAAAAGCCTAAACATTGGGATTTTCCAAGAAGGCATTTTAGTGAGGTTAAAAAAAAGAAGTCCTATTTCCAAGTGTGTCCAAATACAAGAGGGCTTCAAAAAGTTCATGGAAAAGTTTCATTAGCTTTTAATTCTAGTTTTCTATGAACATTTTGTTTTGTCCTCACTTGGGTTGAAGCTTTTAAAGCTCACGTTTTGACAACAGACAGTTAGCTCTCCAGTGGGGGCTCTGGTGAGGTTTTCCTCTTGGGTAGGAGGGACCCAAACCCAACAACAGGGTCTCACCAAAGATTAGTTAGCCATCCTCCTGATGCCCCCTTTCCCCACTGATTGACTGTGGAAATGCCCACACGTCACAGGGACATGAGCACAGGTGAGTAAGGCACCTAATTTCTGTGGATTCAGGAGCCGCTGCTGAGCCCTGCTCCTGGCCGATGTGGGTGTGACCCATCCCTGCCCCGTCTGCCCCATGGGATGTGAATCCCTCCCCGTGTGTGGTAAGAGAGACAGACGATCTTGTGGGTAAGACAGGTAGATGTGTATGTAATCCTGAGTCTAGAAGGCCTCACTCAGGGCTCAGTGCCTCACTGAATCCCAATCCACAGCCTGGGGGAAGGGGAGGGGAGGGGAGGAGGGACAGGTCCTGTGTGTGCCACTTTACCACGAGTGAAATCTGGTTGGTTGATGCCACTGACTCTGGGTTTGAGGAGGACGAGGAGGAAGACGAGGAAGACGAGGAGACAGAATTTCCTTCGGAAACCCGCTTCCGCTTGCGCTTGGGAATGCTGCTGTCTTTGGCTGGTGAGAGAGAAGGAGAAGGCTGCTGACACTGGGGGCTGGGATCCTGGCCTGGGTGAGGTGACCCCAATAATTACCACTTACTGATGAACTAAGTGGCTGGTTCTACTCCACCACGCAGCTCTGTGCAGTTCTACTCCATAACGCACGGGGTTGCCGGGAGTCAGAATCAATGAGATGTAACAGGTTTGATTTTTATGTTTGTGTGAAGGTTTAAAGTCTTGTTCTCAGCTACCCAGCATCCTGAGCTCCCAGCCTGTCAATTTACTCCCTTGGCCCCGACTTGGTCCCTCTGCGCACTAGACCAGTGACGCTCATTGTCACTAACGCTGTGACTACTGGCCTGAGTTTGCTAACGCGACACCACTGGCCCCTACACAGGTCTCGCCAGCAAGGCTGACCCTAAACCAAAACACCAAACCAGCTGTCACTGACTCCAACACATGGGGACCCTGTGTCCTATGAATTACACTCTGTAGCATTTTCAGTGGCTGATTTTTTTCAGGGGGAGCCTGCCAGGTCTTTATTTTGAGGCGCCTCCACATGGACTCGAACCTGCAACCTTTTGATGAGCAGCTAACATGTTGTTGTTGTTGTTGTTATGTGCCGTGGAGTCAGTTCTGACTCATAGTGACCCGGTACAAGGTTTCTGAGGCTGTAAATCTTGACGGGAGCAGAAAGCCTCATCTTTCTCCTGCGGAACAGCTGGTAGTTTTGAACTGCTGACCTTGCGGTTCACAGGCCAATTCGTAACCACTAATTTACCAGAGTTCCTTGCTAATGTATTAGTTCTCTTTCTATTTTTGTAGACCATCTAGCCTGTGGGGATCCAGCCCCCCAGGATTTCCAGAGCCCCTCCTCAGGCCCTGGAACCCCCTCACAGCTTACAGGGCTGCTTCTGGAGTTGGGTAGGCTTGAGACTTGGGGAAAGTTTCTTGGTGGCCCTGAGCTTCCTTTCTTCATGAGTAAAATGTGTAGAATGAGGCAGGGGCGAGTCAGTGGTAAGTTGTTCTCGCCTTCCATGCACGAGAGTCGGATCAGTTCCTGGTCAATGCATCTCCTGCTCAACCACCACCAAACTTGCGTGTTGCTACGACACTGAATTGGTTTCAGTGGAGCTTCCAGACGAGTAAAGGCCTGGTGATCTACTTTTGAAAATCAGCCACTGAAAATCTTACGGATCACAAGGTCCAATCGGCACCCAGTATGGGGATGGTGAAGAATTGGGCAGTGTTTGATTCTGTTGTACACAGGGGCTGGGGTCCTACTGAGCAGGTGCTAACAAGAATGTTAATAAGATTCCATGAAATCCTATTCAAAGTGCTTAGCACGACTACGCCTGTTGTTGTTAAGTGCTATCAAGTTGATTTCAACTCCTGTGTAGGGTTTCTAAGGAGCGGCTGCTGGGTTTGAACCGCCGACCTTGCGGTCCAGTGCATTATCCTGTAAGCGCCATACCAGCACTGAGTAAATTCTTGGAAACTCGGAACTGGGATTGTCACTGTCGCTAGTCTGGTGGCAGATGTGATGACACTGAGACATCAGATGTCACAGGGTCAATAATGAGCCGGCAGGGCTGCAGACATCTCAGTTTGAGTCTAGGTTCTACTGCTGCCACTGAGTGACCCCTGGATAGATTTATTAACCCCTCGGAGCCAAACAGGGCAAAGGAGAGGGAAATGAGATTCAAAGGAAGATCTCATACGCTGCTAAGAGCCCAGGTCCAAAGCCCAGTGGAGAGAGGGGCTCAGCTGGTGTTTCGCTGCTGCTGAAAATAGACTGATGTGAATTTGTAAGGCTGAGAAAAAGATGTACAACAATGCCACTTGGTTAGTGTTTCTGTCTTGGCTGAGTGGTTAATTAGTGCATGAGAACCCAACACAGCCCACCAGAGGGTTACTGTCATTTCTAACTGTGGTAAAACAGAAGTGTCCCGGCACTGTGGTGAATTACCAGCTGGGTTGCTAACCACAAGTTCGGTCGTTTGAATTGACCAGTGATTCTGCAGGAGCAAGATGAGGCATTCGACTCCCATAAAGGTTTATAGCTCAGGTTACTATGAGTCGAGACTGAATCAATGGCACACAACCACCACCAAAATACAGCTATATCAAAACACTGGCCAATTCCACAATTTTGACATATACCATTTGGTGACATTAAGCTCATTGTTCATCATGTGGTACAACCATTAACCCATTGTTGTTGAACTGATTCTAACCCAAGGCAGCACCCATCTGTTGAAGAGCAGAATGATTCCCTAGCGTTTTCTTGGCTGTAATCTTCAGGGAATAGGTTTACCAGGCCTTTCTTCTGAGGTGCCGTGAGTGTCTGATCCACCAATCTTTAAGCTAGTAGTGAAGTGGAAAGCATTTGAGCTGCCACAGGGATCTTCCCTCTTAGCCCTCGGAACCACTAATAAACATTTGCCTATTTCCACCAACCAAAAACGAAACCAGACTCACTACACTGAGTTGATTCTAAATCACTGCAATCCTATAGGACAGAGCGGAAATGCTCCTTAAGGTCTCCGAGGCTGTCAGTCTTTACAGAGGCAGACAGCCTCATCTTTCTCCCAAGAGTGGCTGGTGGGTTTGAACCACTGACCTTGCAGTTAGCAGCCCAGCGCTTAATCCACAGTGCCACCAGGAAGCCTTCACTTTCTACCACAGGTGTCTTAAAGATAAGGTGTGTGAGGGCAGCCTGGGCTTATGGGACAACTGTCTGTCCAGAGCTCCTGTGATGGAGAACTAGAGTGTGAGGTCTGTGACCTTATAAATCAAGCCCTTGGGGGCAGGAAGACCCAGGCTATGGCCAGAGATAAAGGTCCACATGACAAAGACGTCAGAGATGCTGGTTTCTGAGGGCTGTGACCCTAAAGATGGTCATGGTGGCTACAACCAACAACACCCACCCTCTGAGCATTGATCCCCAACGCGCCCCCCTGAAGGAGCCCTGGTGGTGCAATGGACTAAGCATTGGGCTGCTAACCACAAGGTTGGTAGTTCAAACCTACCAGTTGCTGCTCCTCGGGAGACAGATGAGGCTTTCTGCTCCTGTAAAGATTTCCAGTCTTGGAAACCCTGTACAGAGGTCCTGTGAGTCAGATCTGACTAGGAGGCGGTGGGTTGGGTTGGTTTGTTTTTGTGCCTCCCTGAGACCTCTCGGACCCCTGTCCCTTATCTGATGGCAGCTCCTTGTGTGTAGGGCTCGATCCCAGCCTCCCCTCACCCCACCCTTTGTGCCCTGGCTGTGCCTGGTCACAGGAGGTCCCTATAGGTTTCCAGATTTGGTACATTCTGGTTTGGCTGATTCACAGCCTTAACCTTGTGCCTCAGGCTTGGAGAGACTCACTGAATCTCGTCATTGTCCCCACTGAGCAGCCATACTTAGGCCTTAGGTCCATAGCGGCTTGTGGCTTAGATGGACCTTCCTGAGACCATGCTCCAATAACCTCTGACTCACTATGTGGGTTGAAGCCCTTCCTTCCCTTCCTGGGCCTGTTTCCCAGCTGTAAAGTGGAAGGTTGGATTTGATCAGGGTACACCCCCAAGTCCTCACGCCCACCTCCTCAATCAGTACCAATGAACTCCACGGTCCCTGTGAACTGAAAAGTTCTAGGAGACCCTGGCCTCAGGAACCCAAGTGCCTCGCAAGTGCCGAATCAAGGCCCTTGCCCACCTGCCTTAACCCCACTCCACCCCACCCCCGCCCACTAGGGAGTGCCTGTGAGCCACCTGCTGCCCAAACCTGTCCCTCCCTCGAAGCTGACCTGACGCACTACACTGGACCACTTAATAGGGCCTTCCTGCAAACTCTTGGGGACTTTTGGGGGATGCTGACCCTGTTGTTAGTGATCTCAGGCTTCTGGAGGGGGAGTTCTGTAGGGTGGGGATGGAACTACATCTATCTCTCTGTGGTCAGTCACCTACTGAGTGCCCACCTAGACTAAACCTGCCCGTGCCTTTGATGGCAGCAGACACTGGTGGCCTTTGGGGCCTCACACTCACCTGGCACCTTGGTGTCATTGCAGATTTCTGCGAAAGGTCTGGAAAAAAAAAAAAGACGGGAGGTGAGGAGGCCATCAAAAAGAAAGATGTTTCCCCCGCCTTCTCTTCTGTTCCCTGAACTGGTCAACCTCTTTCATGAGATGAAATGCCATCTCTGTTGCTGCCATTAGTCATGTGAGACCCCGGTGAGAATCCCCAAGACACAGGTGAATGATCGGCAGCCAGGGATGCACAGAGCTGTGCTAAGCAAATCGTACCTGGGGCCCAGTTTCCTCATCGTTGGAGGGGGGCTTCAAATTTTGGTGGAAAAATTCCATTAAATTTTAATTTTATTATTCCACCCACCTTTTGAAGCCCCTTCATATTTTCTAAATGTATGAAAATGTGTATGAATTAACGTGACTGCCGGAAAAAGCCAAGTTCAAAGAAAACTTTATAAGTAAGTAACCCTGTGCAGTGGTACTACAGTTGTAGTGGCAAGAGGCCTACTTGGGATCAGGGGTCGGAATCACAGGTGTGCACTGTCATCTGTAATCTGCCCCTCTCCCGGTTCTCTCCTCTAAGAGGGATCTCAACAGCCCCGCCTCCTGGATTCTGCGCAACAGAAGGAGAATGCTTTTCCTCACTGGCTCCTGGTAGGGTCTGCCCTGGGGACGCCCCCTGTGGACCCTTGTCTATCAGCTCCCCCTGCCCTGGGGTCGGGCCACTCACTGGAGCTGGTTAATGATGACCATGCGCACATGTTCGCGGGCCTTCAGAATCTTCTCCAGCCGGTGAATGTCGTACGTGTTGGGGTTCCGGAAAGGGATGTCATCAGGTAGGCCTGTGACTTCAACAGCGTCCGGGCTGTCCCGGATCAGCTTGTAAGGGACCAGCACAGGCCGGTTCAGACCCAGGGCCTCACCTGGGGGAGTGGACAACAGATAGTTAGTAAAGATGTCCCAGCTCAGCCATTCTATTCCAGAGAGAGTTTAAACATCAACACACACTGCATCCTTTATCCAGTTAGCATAACGAAAAACAACACCCAAAGCAGACAGTAAAACAAATACTTCCATACACACCAAGTGCAGTGATTTTAAAGTGTGCACCCCTCCCAGTGACAGGCAAGAGTCTGATATTTGCTTAAAATCTACTGGCGACACACCTATGTTCAAGTGTGATGTTCTGCTGCTGCTGTTGTTTTTAGTTGCCATGGAGACGATACTGCCTCACAGCAACCCCAGTGTGCAGAGCGGAAGTGGTCTAGAGGGTTTACAAGGTGGTGGATGATCTTCAGGAAGCAAATCACTAGGTGTGCCTCCCAAGGCATATCTGAGTGAGCTTGAACTGCCAACCTTTTGGGCTAGTTGTTAAGCGCTTAACCATTTGGCTAAGCCACCTAGAACTCCGAAAAAGTCCGTCTTTAAATATTTATGGAATAAATTATAGGATGTCTTGGGTTTGGGACCCACCCAAATATTTGCTTGAAAATGATAAAAAAGAATGTAGAAGAGGAACCATTAAATAAAACTGTTGGCGAAATGCTGGCTAATTATACAGGTTGAGTTTTGGTTAAAAAGGTTCATGAAGCTGTTCTCTCTACTTCTGTATATGCTTGAAAATTCATTCTAGAATAAAAAGTTATAAAAACAAACACTCAGTAGGTGACTACCCCACAACCCCGCCCCACGGGCACTGACCATATTTTTCATTGAAGAGCTCCTTCACTTGCTCCCGAAGAATCACCTTCTCGCCTAGCCTGTTGGCATCATCTTCATCTACAAGTGGAAGATACGGGCTTGAGAGTCAGCTTGGCCATTGGCCTTGCTCCTTTTTCCCTCACCTGCTGGAGCGGCCTCCAGGTTAAGCGCTCTCCCGTATCCTGTCTCTCCTGCTTATCTGTCTATCCATCACATATTCTGAAAGCTCTGCTAGGGCAGGCCTAGGTCAGCACAGCCTGCAGGGGTTAGTGCACAGCCATGGTGTCTACCCAGAAGTGGGGCAGGGGACCATGGGTGGGAGGCTTCATTCATTTATACACATCTGTATAGTGTTGCATCGAGGTGAACGGTGTGTGTGTGTACCTTGCAAGGCACTAAGGCTGAAAGGTCCTGGAAGGTTGGATGTGGCTGAGCCCAGGGGAGGACCAGGGGAGGCAACTGGGAGATCAAGCCTGTGAATGGGGAGACAGACTGTGTCTGGTATGGGGCCATCACTTCTTCCTTGGGGAGTACCCAGGGCAGCCCAACCTCTGCCTGAACCCAGAAAAGTGGCTGGGGTTGACCTGGGCCTAAGTGGGATTATGAGGTGCGGAGGGCTGCCTGGAGAAGGTGTCCAGCCTGCAGCCCTGTGGGCACTGCGTGGTGGGGGCTGGAGTTTCAGGAAGGGAGGCTTGTCACCTTCAAACAGCTGCCCTTCCAGGCTGGGCACCCCATAGCTCTCCTGCTAGGGATCTGGGGTGGGTGAGGGTGGAAGAGGCAGGACGCTAAAGCCTGGGTGATGGGGAAGACAGGACAACTTGTGCCTTCATCTAACTCTGTTCCCTTTTGTAGGCCACACCTCCGAGAACTGCACCCTCCCAGGCTGGGGCTGGCACCATTCAGAGTCAGCTGACCTGGCACGGGAGCACACACTCAGATGGGGAATGGGCGGTCCCCACCGTACACCTTGCCCAAGGTCACATAGCTGCTTAGTGCCAGGGCTACCTGTTTGGCCTCAAAGCCCTTGTTCTTCTAGCCCACCCTAAGCCCTGGGCTTTCTGAAGACTCATTTTCCCCAGGTAAAAGGCAGGGTTGATCTTTGAGGTGTTGGCCTCTAAAGCCCCTGCCCTATATAGCCCACAGTTGCCCAGATCTGCTGCTTCTCTTGTGTCTGGGACGGGAACAGACACAGAGCTGGAAGTCACTGGGCTGTCCGATGTAGGTGGCACCTATGCTCAAATGCAGGGGACAGGCCCAGTGCCCCTGTAGTCCTGGCACTGCCAGGACCTCACATCAGAAACCTAGACTCATGCTTGGCCTGCCACACATGGGTCATGCATCATGACCCTCTGAGTTGCTGTCCATACCCTCTTTTATCCCGTGCAGATGCTGTGATGAGTCCTAGAGATATAGAAGAGATGAGGCGGCAGGGACAGGAAGGTAGCACTGGACAGTCAGTGCAGGGCCCCAACCTCATGGGGAATCAGGGATGGCTTCCTGGAGGAAGGGACAGCCAGACTATAGATCAAGGCCTCAACTGCACACTGGTGATCATCACCCGACCTCGAGGCAGCTGTGAGGTGAGGGGGTACACACGTGTCGGCAGCCCTTAGCCTCACACGATGATGCACTTGCCATGCTCCTCCTGAAGGGAGGATTTGACGTTTGCAGTCTATGAGAATTAGAAATTCTGTTCTGCATCCCCTCCCCTTTTGATCGGGATTCTTCTATAGCATCTTTGATTAAAAAAAAAAAAGGTCACTAGTCTAGCTGGGCACCATCAGTTCTGCTGGTCTCACAGCAAAGGAAGCAGTTGGCCACATTCTATTCTCCTCCTGTTGTTCCAGGTGAAGAGAGACCAATTGTTTGTGCCTGGGATGGCCGCCTGCAAGCTTTTCAGACCCCAGGCAGCACTACTCAACCAACTGCCTTCAAGTGGATTTCAACTCATAGTGACCCTGTATAGGACGTCCGAGGAGTGGCTGGTGGGTTTGAACCGCTGACCTTGAGGTCTAGTGCATTATCCTCCACTCAATGAACCTGTTGTTGTTAAGGGTGAACCACACCAGGACTCAAGGAGCTAGGCAGTAGAAAAGAAGGCAGCATTTGGTGCTGATGTGCACGGGGTCACCATGAGGCAGTTAAAAACTACTGCTTACCAAGCAGTACATTACCCCGCTGGGTTCTTGAACCTCTGACACCAGGCCTCAGAAAGGACAGCTGCTTTTCTGTGTCTTTTCTTGGCTCCCCAAGGACCACTGGGGGACAGTGGCTGTTTTACCCTGGGCCTTGGACAGGCTTGGGCCATCCCTATCACCTCTGAGTCTGGTCTGCTTGTTAGCATCTGGGAAGCGTGAGAGCAAGGTGACCCGAGGGGCCAAGTTTGCATAAAGCCCTGGTCTTCCCGAGACCCTGCCCTGTGTGGTGGTTAGGAATAAAGAGCATAATGCTAGGATATGAGGGCCTGGGTTCGAATCCTAGCTCTGGTATGAGTTATGTGACTCAGGCAAGGTTTTTAGCCACTCTGTTCTCAATTTCTGCCTATGAAAAGACGATGAGGACAGTTAAGTGCCACACAGCAGACTGTGAGGGCCAGTGAGGACTTAAGCTAGGGACGATTAGTTATTACTGTTCTGAACACCAGCTGTGTCAGCAAATTATCTCTGGGGGGACCTGCTTGGTCTCCCCCAAGCCCAAGACACCTGTAAGGGACACCAATGGTGGCAAGCAGTTCAAAATGTTCTCCATTTGGAAATGTCATCGTTGGGGCTCATCAGAGGAAGGGGGACGTCCCTGGAGCCAGTGGATAGATAAAGAAAGCAGTCTGATTTTAACCCCAGTGCTGTGTGGTGTTTGAAAAGTCACTCAATCTCTCTGGGCCTCGGTTTCCACCACCCTCCAGTGGGAATGACGGCTTGTTGGGAGGGTCCAACACTATGGAGCTGATATTGAGTTGGTTCTGGACTCATGATAACTCTGCCCAACAAAATGGAGCGCTACCTGGTCTGCCATTGTCCCCGCGCTCAGTAAACATGCTAAGGTTTCCCATGAGTCAAAGCCAGTTGTATTGCTATTGTTACTAGGAACTGGTATGGTGCTGTAGGATCAGTGCTGGACTGTGAACCACAAGGTCAGCAGTTCAAACCCACCAGCCGCTCCTCGGAAACCCTATACAGGGTCACTATGAGTCAGAACTGACTCGACAGCACTTAACCGCACATTCGTTGATTACTCTGTACTCGTGAGAAGGTTTCACAAATGTGAACTCTTCCCAGATGACCCAAGTGCTCATTTTGATGACACGTTCTCTATAATGAATCTACATTGCCTCTTTTCTATTAAGCACACTATATGTACCACAGATGGGCCTCTTCTTGTCCCTACAGAACCTGCCCCCACTGTCCCCAGCAGTGATCTTGCTCCAGATAAGTTTCAGAGGCTGCCCCTAGGCCGTGACACCCGGCAGGCTAGGCCTGTCCCTAGCCAGCAGTTCTCTGCCTCTTCCTACTCATGCCAACCTGTTGGCTTCTCCCATTTGTTGTTGTTGTTAAGTGCCGTTGAGTCAATTTCCACCCATAGTGACACTGTATAGGGTTTCCAAGGAGCAGCTGCTGAGCTTGAACCACTGACCTTGCAGTTCAAAAGACTTTGCAAGCTGACGCATTAGCCCACAGCTATGTGTTACCATGAAATTGTGCTGACTCTGTGGCAGCTAACAAAAAGAATGTGGGCAGAGGAATTCTGTCATCTCCGTTTTACCGAGACTAAGGCTCAGAGAGGTGGCAGGGGTTTCCCCACTGCCCCCAAAGGGCCCTGCCTTCTCAGCTGTTAGGGTCCAGGCAGGCCCAGCACCACTTTATGGAAGAAACCCTCTTGAAGGAGGATTGAGGGTCCCTGAAGAGGCAGCTAGCTATCTGTGGCTGTGTTTTAAGACCCCTTCTGACATTTCCAGGCCCAGACAAACCTCTTAACACACACATCCAAAATGACCATGGGAGAGGGAAGAGGAGGCTGCTGAAGAGTGTATGTGTGTGTGTTTATGGGGGAGTGTCCTACACTTGCTGACCCCCAAAAGGCCTGGGGCACATCAGGAGAGAATTAAGTGGCTGCCAACATCATGGCCTTTTTCTAGGGACAATGTCCACCTAGCAGCTGGGGTGCAAGTCAGAAGAGACTCGTGTTTTGGTCAGCTCTAGGGTCCCTCTAGGAGCTCTGGTAGCGTAGTGGTTACGAATTGGGCTGCGAACCTTAAGGTCAGTGGTTCGAAACTACCAGCCACTCCGTGGGAGAAAGATGAGGCTTTCTACTCCCGTAAAGATTTACACCCTTGGAAACCCTGTACAGGGTCGCTATGGGTTGTAACCGACTCGATGGCACTTAACAACAACAACAAGGGTCCCTCTGCTCCTTGGGGGCTGGGATCAGGATAGTCACACCACCGTCTGGCTCCTGGGATAGAAAGAAAAGTCAGCAGCTGGCACCAGATCTCTCACTGGGAGGGGGCCAGGTGGGCAGCTGTGGACACAGCCTCAGTGAGAGACTGGGATGCCTGTTCTTGTCTGCTTTGCCTCGGGGAGCTCAGGCCACTCCCCATTCCCTCCAGTCCGGGAGTAGAGACCTGGCTGCTGACCCTGATTAACTGAGCTTCAGTTTTGTGGGTGCTGTTGTAAGGATCGGATGAGGAATGTGGAGCCCTGAACACAGTCCCTGGCACGCACGTAGCCGGCATCTGTTAAATGGTAGGTTAGCATAATCCTTGGGCCTCTGGTCACCAGGGTGAGGCAACTTTCTCATTCAGAGGGCCTGGCAAGGCGGAAGGCACAGCCACTGTGAGATTCTGCTCTTTGGTCCCCGGTGCAAAGAGAAGGTATGGGGGACCCCTACAGCCTAGCGGAGGTTTGACTGGGGCTCTGAAAGGCTTACCAGCAGGTTCACACACATTACGCATTCCGGCCCACCTATGCCTCGTGTTCAGCTGTTCTGATGCTACACATGTGTCTCAATGTGTATGCAGGTGCACACACATCTCACGTGCTATACTGTTCACACGTATGTATTACTTGTTTCAGCCTACAATT